CGTATATGTGTATATTTTATGTGGTTTGTATAATCAAATTAACAAGTCCCACATAAATCTATCTTGTATATATACTTTTTTATGTGGTTTGTATAATCAAGTTAACAAGTCCTACATGAATCTATCTTATTTTTTATTTTGATTATCATTACTCTTCCATCTCACATTGTCTTCAGAAGAAAAGATGAGATTGAAAAAGATACACAAATCACTCAAAAGTAGCTTCTTTAATATAAAGACTTCTGAATTTTAACTTGTCATATGACCTGATTTTAGCTCTGTATTGTTCTCATAGCCTGAGATGCCCCTTTCTGTAAATAAATTGATTTTTCAGTTGTTGCCTATTTTTAACACATTATTTTATGATTTCTTTGAATCACTAGCAACATCAATGAAACTTTTCTCCAACAAGCCAATATATAAGGTTATTTTAGTCAAATTGTCTTTAAAATATATTTTAATGGTTCTAGTCATACTAGTTCACAAGTTATTAATTTTAAAATCCAGATACAACTGAATAGTTTTTCATTAAAACAAAATCAACAGCTGAGTAGATATTCTTCATACTAAACAAAATAAACATACAACTTGAAATATTCTATGACCAACCTGGACTTAAATGGTTCAAATTCTTCAATATGGCTGTTGCTCAACAGTTTTATATCAGGAATAGTCTTCTCTTTACAAAATGATTCACTTATATACCTATTATGAGTATGTGTGTAAAAGTCCAAGTCTTGCAGCATCTGTTCAAGTTCAGTTAACTTCTATATAAAAAAAAAATAAACAACCATTAAGATTGTAGCACAAATGAATAGTGTTTTAAATTTAAAGAACTGAAAACAACTGTTATTAAACATTTTATAAATCCACAGCTTCTGTTAATCAAAGCAACTTTTGTGAAGTACAATTAAACAAAATATAAGAAAGCAAAGGTTCAAAAAGAACTTTTTAAATTGCATAACACTTAGATTTTAAATTAGAATTTACCTTTATAATTCAATAAGAAAATTAAGTTCTACATACTTTTTTCTTTTAACATCATGCCAATCAGGTGTTAAAGAAGTTTTTTTTACAAAATAAACTGTAACACAACTAAAATTCCATGCCCATTGTCAGCCTATAGAAGGGCATTACAAACACCAGTCAATATTATTGGATGAAATTAAGTGTTGAAGATAGCATAATAGAAGGTAATATTTGACATTAACATTTATAACAGATTAGATAATAAAACCAAGCACTACTAATTTAAATGCAATAGAATATAAAAAAATCACAAACTCTTTCAGTTCAAAGTGCTAAGCCTAATTCACCTAAAAACCTTGCACTCGCCACTCAATAGCTCTTAACTCTAACATTCATGAATCAACTTCTCTCCTAAAAAATATATCTATTTTGATTTAAATTTTCAATATAATGATTAATATAAATAGATATATGATACAGCATGACTTAAGCTACTATAGAAAAATAATAAAAGTCACATACATCACATGCAGTTTTTTTCAGAAGCAAGTTTTCTAAGGCTTACCAAAAAGTACTATTGACCAATACTAAATACAACCTCTATATAAAATGGCAGTTACTATAATAAGCACCACCCACATTCATGCTGTAAAATCCAGAGAACAACATTTCGTCACGTGCCTAGCTTATCATCCTATGATCTGTCAAATGCGAAATACAGCGATTGGAATAATATGGTACTGAAATTGACACCTTTGACTAAGATTGGCTAAAACTTTTACAACTGAGGTTTAACATGCCCAGACGCTGTTTTATAAAGAAAACAGATTAGAAAAAGGTTTAGATACTAATCATAGATGGTGGAACCGAAGCTGAAGTGCAAGGAAAATTTTTAAAAAATTTTCTTCTTAAAGGGCACTTATTTATAGTCTCAAAGGTATTTTGGTTGTTTTTTATTAATTTCTCTTTAAACTTCATCAAATAATATAATTTTGTACAAATATTGAATGTTATGCTACTATTTACAAAAATAAAATATGAAATCCAATAAAAGATAAGTTCTCTATAATTTTTTTCAATTCAGAAATGTGATTTTGCCTTCACAATAAGACAAAATGGCCACAGTAGGTAACGGGTTAATTAAGGATATAATATTGAAGTAACAAACAAATTTAAAAAAACTTAAGTTTTATCCTTCATTATTAAATTTCCTTATAATTTCTTTTTACACCTATCTTGTATTAATAAAAAACATATACACTCAATTTGTTGCTTACACACAGGGAAAAACCTACATAGGAAAATGATAGCAAAAGGTAAAGCAAGATAAATGTCATAAAAATAAAAAACCTGAGAGAGCTTTAGGTTTTATTTTAAAATTTTTAAATGTCAGCAAGGTTAATGTAACTTTTTTTTGGGGTAATGTTTAAGGTATTGGCACTCTTACAGTACTGTATGAAGAAAATCTACATTAGAAACATTGCATGCATAGGAAGGCTATTAAAAGAATCCCTGGTTTAAAAAAATTATTATGATCAAACAAAAATTATATACACAATAATTATTAATAATACAATATACAGTAAAAGTGGATGCTACCAGCCAGTTGCCTCCCTCTGGGCAATGGTTCAAACTTAGGGACAGTGCTATACTACCTGGACTAACAAACATGCTGTGATGGGACACACAGTGGAGGAAAAAGAGCCTGCATTTCAACCAGTACTAAACTCCTTCAACATGTAAATCAATACATCAAATCAGTGAATACATCCAAAAACTTAAACTATGAAAACAGGCTTAAAACTAGGATATTTACATTGGCCTGCAAGAACAACTAGATGCGATTGAATTAACTTTTTAAATCTGTCAAGAACTTGGATAATTTGTCTGTTTATCTATTTAAATGGTCAAATTAAAAGGTTGGAAAAGTAAAATTAGATGCTGGGGTAATGAATGTAAGACTTGGAATAAAATGATATAAAATGTTATATTTATATGGTTAATAATTTTTTGTGTGGATTTTAAATGGGCAATCACTAATTTAGAACAATAGCCAACAGTCACTCAATATTCCTCTAATGAGTTTATAATACTGTCACATAGATTATTTTATCATTCTTTTTTTTAATTAATACCAGGCTTACTTATAAACAAATTATTCTTATCAGATATAAATATAATTACACTTTTCACATTGTAATCCAATCAAAAAACATGGTGGCTTGATACCCTGCAGCCAGGAATGATCTCTTAACTACTAAATACCCAACAGTCCAAAAATTTGAATACTGATAAGCTACGATCACCTCTCACTTGACACAGAGAATGTGTAATAGTAAATTATGAGACTAATTTGTTTTCAAGCTCGATGAAACAATCTAAATAAAACTTTTGCACTGGAAAAATAAATATTGATTGCCATTCTTGTTTAGTGTCAATCAGCGCGTGTAATTGCTACAAGCTGCCAGAAAGGACCCCTAAAATACTAGATATCCAGCAGTCTATAATTCCACAATCATGAATAATTATAAGCTTCCAGTATGATAATTTACATATATACTAGTGAAAGTACCGGCTTCACTCAGGATATTACGTTGATACATTCTAGATGACTATGTCAGTGTATGTATTCTGAATCTATCGTAGCATAGAAGAACTGTCAAAAATATTTTATACATTTTTATTTCCCAGAAACATAAAAAAGCTGTACAGAAAAGTACAATAAATTAAGAATTATTTATTATCAAATAACTTCATCATTGCATTAAATATTTCACAATATTTGATATCACTAATTTCTATCACATTTTATCAGAATCTATTACATTTTTTTACCGTTGATGTGCTTCAGGTTATATAATACTGGTTGTTTTCCCAAATAAATCACAAAGACATACAGACACACTCTATAATAATAATATTATAATTACTATAATTAAAGAAGTGGTTCCTTATATTACAAATTATAGATATAAATCACAGATAGACACATATGCATGCATGCACATCTTTTTAAAGAGGCAATCAGCAAAAAACCACATAGAAAAGAAGTGGTTCTTTATATAACAACTTCTAATATACTGCAAAGTCAGTGCATTTTGATAACAATACTTTCCAACAATAGATTTTATATCATGTTGCTTAGCAATAAAAGTTGTTTGTTGTTTTCTGTCTGTTTGTGATTTATATCTATAATTTTTAATATAAGGAACCACATCTTTTTTATGAGATTTTTCACTAGCTTGCCTCATTAAAAAGATGAGCACACATACGTGGATAAGATAAATAATAACACCCAGGTGCACACATTCAGAGTCCACTTAGTATGGGTGCAAAATTTCAGGTTTCTAGGTTCTTTGCTCTTGGCGCTATAGCAATCACACATACACTGACATGCATGTACACATGCGTATACACACACACACATGCATTTGTCTGTTATTTCTACTTTTAATAGAAGAAACCATTTCTTTTCTATGTAGTTTTCGCATAAAAATATGCGCACGCTCATAGATAAGTAATAATACACAGGTGCAAACCCTCAGGATCCATTTAGTATGGGTGCAAAATTTCAGGTTTCTAGGTTCTTTCCTCTTGGAGCTATGGCAGTCACACATACAAAGACATGGATGCACACACATGCATGTCTTTCTATCTTGGGTTTCTATTTGTAATATAAGGAACCACTTTTTTTTCTGTGTGGTTTTTTGCTAGCTTGCTTCATTAGACAGATGCGCATACATGCACGCATGTGGATAAGTAATAATACACAGGTGCACACCCTCTGAGTCCACTTAATATGGGTGCAAAATTTCAGGTTTCTAGATTCTTTCCTCTTGGAGTTATGGCATTCATACACACACACACACAGATCCAGAGACATGCCCTTTTATTTTATTCTAGACCACCCATGATCCGTTGAGTCACCCACTATTCAAATTAGCTTGAATTCTTCATAACCTCTCCAATATTGCACCGAAATGAAGGTTTATTTTGAGATAATTTAATTAAATATTTCAATCCATTCATGTTATTCATAATTCAAGAAAAGATATTTGATTGTTGATCGGGAGTAAAACGAAATACCATTTCATTTTTCAAAAAGTGAAGTAAGAAGTTTCGTAAAGAGCGCGAACGGTAGTGTGAATGATTTTTTGACTGAGAAAATAAGCAAACCAACAATCTCAGAGTTTTAGTAGTATATAGATAGATTTTTCAAGATCTTGTTTTAAACAATGTATGTGGTCTATGACACATCTAGAACTGTGGTTCCTAATCGCCAGTTTGCAAGACGGTTAGGAAAACAAGTTTGTTTTAAAATATAGCTTCTGCTTCACAGTGTAATAAAAAATAATTTACAAAGTTGATATTGTATGGAGCGTTCCACGAGATTCTGGGATTAGAACTAACTGAACCTCAGATGGAAAAAGTTGGGAACTATTGATCTACAGTACATAGGGTCAACTGCCCTATCAAATTTATAGTATATTATACAAGAAGTTTGAACTAGAAACACATAATTAAAGATAGCTAAGAGGGATTTTAAATGTAACAAGATGGTTACATTTAAGTAACGAAATCCAAGATGGCCGCTGCAAAAACCTATTTTGGCATATCTCTGCCCCCGTGTATTCTACAGAGGTATTCTTGGTGTTTAAATGTAACAAGATGGTTACATTTAAGTAACGAAATCCAAGATGGCCGTTGCAAAAACCTATTTTGGCATATTTCTGCCCCCGTGTATGCTACAGAGGTATTCTTGGTGTTTAAATGTAACAAGATGGTTACATTTAAGTAACGAAATCCAAGATGGCCGTTGCAAAAACCTATTTTAGCATATCTCTGCCCCCGTGTATGCTACAGAGGTATTCTTGGTGTTTAAATGTAGGTTCTGAAGGGCACGAAATTCAATTCCAACACTAGATAACAGAAACTAGGATAGACCAACAACGTCCAAAATGGCTTCCGTGAAAATTGAAATAACCTCAAAGTACCGTATTTTTCGGAATATAAGACGCACCCTTATTTTGAAGACAAAGTTTTGGGGAAAAAAACGTACAGTCGCATTTAAAAGATTTTTATTGAACAAAAATTCAATTTGATACTTTAAAAATTAGTATATATTGTTATAAACACAAGAGAGCTCAAAACATCAAAATAAGAAAAGACCTTAAATCAAAAAAAGGTTTACTGTTATTTAGTTTGGTTCAAACCTACAAAATCTTCATTGTTTTCACTGTAATTTATTTTTTTATTATTTAGGAAGCATTATAAATAGTTATGTTT